GTTGAAGAAGAAGATGTGTTGTTTTTCATTATAATGTTATGTAATTTTAACAAAATTGGGTCCAAAGGTTCATCCTAAAAGGCAATTTTCTATTTCCACATTATAAAAATGTTTTTGTTTATTTTTAAGATTGGTCACATTGTGTGCTTATTGAAAATTTCTAAATCCTTTCAGTATTTTTAAGATACAACGCAGTCATGTTGTCCTAAACTTTTAAGACAATAGCTTAAAGTATATCTTATTTGTATTCAAATATACAAAATATCATATGCGGATAAATTATAAGATTATCTACAACTGTAAACGTGGTAGGTAGATAAACAAATATAGATTGTTCTTCGGATGTACTTCAAAAATACGACACCTAATTTTCATAACATTTTTGTTTTAATTTATTCTCTAAAACAAAAACTTTAATAACTTGAACAAATATAATTTATTTTAAAGATTCCAAATATTATATTATTTAGACTAATAAAAATATTTAAAATATTTATTACATAAAATAATAATATGTATTCATTTATGTATACTAATATACTTGCTGAGATTCTAAGCTTAATTTTTTTTTTTTGCTTAACCTAAAAATCATTAAAATGTAAGTATTTAAATTAAAACTTATGAAAACTTTTTATGTGTATACTACCCTACGTTATATTTTATAATATAAAATATAATTTCGTCACTATTCGTATTTTTTTCTTATTTTTTAAAAATAAAACTAATGTTGTTTAAACTTTTAACAAACCCAAAGTAACATCTTGAAAAAATGATTCATCTTTAAGGCAGTATATGAAAAAGTTAAGCAGTACAGCATAAAAACATTTTGGAAAAGTGTTTAAGACATAAAAAAAACATTTAGCGTTATAATATTTTAACGAAAATATATTGTCCATTACTTTTAAAGTCGTAATAGATCAAAATGTCAAATATTATTCATTCAATGATAGTAAAAACGATTTCCTTTTAAAAAAACAACATGGAAATCATACATTTTACTGGAAAGTATTCTATTCCAGAAGCTTTATTGATTTTCTAACTACGTGCCTGCAGCTGTTCTAATTTGTGATTGACTTGTCCCAATTTATAATTGACTTAAGAACAACTCTTAAGAATGCAACTATCTAATATTAATCCATTAAGTAAAATAAATGAACTCCATTGTTGGTTGAAAAATGGGTATTCAGTTCTCAATGTTAGCACAGTATTTTTTTTTATCGTGCTTAAGTTGTGAACATTTCTAAAAATTATATTAATATTGGTACATAAAATCATACGTATAGGTTAAAAATTATTAATTTGAATAAATTATACATCTTATAATATGCAACAGGCTAAAACGTTTTCGCTTATGTATTGATACAACTATAATATATGTGCAATCTGTAGGTATGCATTATCTTTGATTATAGATTGACTGTATAATTAATGGTATTATGATTAGATACCTAGATGTTACATACAAACAATAATAACCATGTTATTAAATAACAAATTTTGTATACTTTAAAATTTAAATTGCACTGATATTTTCAATATTACTCAGTTGTGCGTTTTTTCCGCATATCAAGCATTTTATAAATGCACAACAGGCCTCAGGGAAAAAGGAATGATAATCTACTAAACCTTATTATTTTGGAGTGGGGACGTGACATTTGCAAACATGTGTGGCTGTACGGCAGATTAGTGAGCTCACTGTTTTTACATGCATTATTCCAGTGACCCGGGTAATGAGACACTGGAGCTGTAATGGCATTGACTCTGGCGGTGTATAATACAACGAAAAAACGTACACACACACACACACACACACACACACACACACACATATATGAACATGCACATTATGCATGTATACTAGATGAGGCCTTTTGTTCGAGTACACGGCATGGCCTTTACAACGTGCACAACTAGACATGCACACTTGACAATACTGCCGACTCGACAACTTTGCTCTCTCTCTCTGTCTGTCTCTGTCTCTCTCTCTCTCTCTCTCTCTCTCTCTCTCTCTCTCTCTCTGTTCGGTTTGAGCAGTGGAACAATTGAGGAGCGCACGCACACTGTCATGTTTCAGAGTAGAGGGTGTTGCCATAGCCACAGGTCGAGTACTCTCTGTCGTCGCCTTTTTTATGTATAAATATATATGTCTCCATAAAGTAGGGCGGAACTTGACGTTGTCGCTTTAAAAAAAATTTCCAATGGGTAATGCATAAAAAAATCTCTGAAATTCCATGGGTATTAGAGGATAGGTAGGTACTGAGAAAATCCACTTGGCACCCAAAGACACAGCTTTCAAGTGCCCACTCGTGTAGACATCGAGGGAAATTTTCTTTTGTCAGTTATTTCGACGTGGCCCACTTGAATGAGTCATTTCAAATAAGTTCATTACGCCCTCTACCCCCGACAGTTTTTTTTATTTTTAAGAACTATACCGTAATAACGGCCACCAAAGCCTTTTCTCTTTTTGCGAAAAATTATTCTTTTAGATATCGCCCGTGCATTTTTTATCGACTTCTTTTATAACGTATCACCTATCTGTCAATCAAATAAAATATGCATAATAATAATGTATAAATTTACATTCTCCAACATTAAGTTTAAAATAGAAGTTATCTTTAATTTTAATTTGAAAATGCACACGCATAATACAGTTTAAAATCATTCAGACTGATGTTATAGTATTTCAACTACATTATTATACAAATTCTAAAATTATACGTTTAAAAAGAATTAGAATAATAAATTGTAAATAAACGTGATTCAACAAGAAAATTAACTGTGAGGATTTTTAAATTTGAACAATAGTTTATAGCTCAACCTTAAATTTAGATGTTTCACAAAATACATAAAATCCATTCTTATCAAATAGTTATTCTTTGGTGTTCCAGAAATAAGTAAAACACATTTGTGATTTTATCTTTAAACGTTTTTAACTTGACTATCAAACTTTTAACGACTATAACTCACGAAATGTTTTGGTCAAAATTAGACATATAAAAATATAATATATCGTCCTTATCGTAGTTACAGATATTTACAATTCTGAAAGAAACACAAAAATTTAAACTATTAACTACATTTACAATATTTTTAGTTTATCATAATAATAATTCTGTGGCACTATATACTATGATGGCTAATTAACTAGTCGGTAAAATTTAGATTGAAGGTACAATTTAAGGAAGTACATTTATGATATTATAAGATTTTTATACGTTCTTATATTACAGTGGTCTCAGATATGCCCGCAATAATTCACAAAGAAATGATTTTTATCATTTTTAGTAATTGCATTAGGTGATTTGTGATCATCGATATGAAGATATAAGTAAAAAAAAAATAAGGTTTACGCTTTTAATTTTAGTTTGAGACTACTGCAGTATAAACAGATCGTCATTATATCGAACATTATATTTAGTACACGAATATTGTTGTTTATTAAAATTTAATGTAAATTATGTGTAAATGATTAATGATATTTGAAAAATATTACTTTTTTTTTATTGAGTTAAGGCTTTAACGTCTACGGCCATAGCCCTGTACTTGTTTTTATAACTTGTAAAATGAATGATAAATTGATGTAAATAACTATGAATTAAACAAACTATTGATTATACGCATAATATGTATATTTTATAATTGTTCTAGTTTTGCTTGCCTGTACATAATAGTACCTAACAATAATTATGCTTCATTTTGGAAAATGTTGAATACTTTATTCCCTACAAAATGAATTAAAATGATTGAAATGTCTGCATGCACTGGTGTTCGAATTGTTTCCGATCGCGAATTGTCCTGATCCTTTTGTGCACATTTCGTTTTGGTCGGATACGGATTTCTTTTTTTTTTATCGTTTTAATCCCGCGGGCGCGTTTCCGATGCACCACGCCCGGATGTCAGTTATTTACTTCCGGTTGGGTTCAACATAAAGGACGCAATCAAGTCACGGTGAACAACACCCCCAACGCCCAGCCTTGCACAAAATTGTTAAAGGTCTTTCGAGTCATTACAAAAAGAAAGAAAAAAAGCGATCGTTTACCGCCGCCACCGTTGATGGAATATGAGAAAGACGGCGACAGTGGCGGCTTCTACCAATGAGATTGCGTCGGATAATCACCGATAGTCTTTCCAAATACGTCCGTATTAATTCCACATCGGCTTCCGTAATCGGATATATTCTGGAAAGTTGTTATCAGTGATGAACACCGGTGAAAAGTTGCTGTCATTCACAGGAGTCACGTATTTCCCAGCCCCTTTGTGTACGCCAGTTTTCCAATTATTAAACTAGTCTTTTTGTGATGGTTTTAACTATTTATCTCTGAGTTTTTCGAATCCTTTTCTCCTTGTTCGCATACACTAGTCTTGGCAGGCGCCTATGGAAACTGCGGTGACTTTCGCATGCTCTCGAGTTGTTCAAACGCAATTGATAAAAAGGTTATAACGGGAAATCCACGATGGTGCCGCGGTGGCGTAAAACTTATCCGTGAGGATTGTCGTATATTATTTCTTAATTTTAATCCATCTGGTAACCGATGTTTCTCGAACCGAATTGATCTCTTCCGCATCCTTATGGGATTTTTATTTTCGTTACTCCTCAAATTCATTCCCTCTCAATTAACATTCTCTATTGCACATATAACTTAAGTTATTTCCTTGTAATAAATATTTATTGGTTTTGATCGGAACAACGATTTTAAGTGCTTAACGATTCTGGTTTTACTCAATACGATTTTAAGTATAAATTCGTCTTTTAGAGATTTTCATTATTGTTATCATCATTATTGACTTAAAATGTGCACATCTATTTTATTATATATAGCTTTCTGCGGCTGTACACTTAATCTTTGGAGTATTGGATACAGATGAAAAAATTCTCTTTTTTTATAAGTTACTTATGTCGATTGTTGAATGTTGAATTGTCGTTTTTAACTATTAAGTTATGCATTATAACATGTTATGTTATGATTATCTATTAATTAATTCTTTTATTTTTTTTACAGATCGATCCGAAAGTTGCGTTTCCGCGACGAGCACATCCGAAGGTAAGTGAAAAAACCATCATTATTTTCTTTTATTTATCATCGTTTATTATATTTATATATATACTAAAGAAAATTAGTTTTAAGTTGAAAGTTTTTCTCAATAAAACTAAAATGAGATCATGCGAGTGGTGGGGTATATTTGTAAAACATAGAACCAAATATTTCCCTCTCCAATGTTCTAGGTGGAATAGTTAATTTTTTTAAACCCATATTATCTCCATTGTTTAAACCAATCACCTTGTGTAGCATTGTTTAACGTTATTTCCATAATGATGTTTATTGGAGACTTGCCAAATTCATCTGGTAATAACTGAGTACAGATTCAAAAAATACCATTCGACTTAACGAAAATACAGATTTAATTTTCAAATTGTCGTCTATAAAATCTTTATTTTTTTATTAGCGTCAAAATAAACTATTATAGCTCAAACAATATTTAAGCAATGGCCATAAAAGTAATACAATTTCAAATCAGTTACATAAGTCATATAAATAAAAAAGTATGATAATAATCTTAAAATATTATTTTTATAAGGAAGTCTAATTTATAAAGATTTTCGTTTTTTTTAGAACCGTATCTATTATTGTTTGTACACTGACGTTGTAGGATGTTTACATTATATTATAAATTAATACAAGACTTTCAGACACGAAACAGCGAAGGTTATAACTTACAATGAATATAATATTATATTATTTATGTATAGTGTTTTAACTAACAGTTTAACTGTAAAATAGCCGCCGAATAATGACGAAGTATAATCGTCGCTATATAAGCTTAATTAAGTAAATATTTTTAACATTATGATTATTTGAGTTGGGGAATTATGGTCCGAATGAGATCCAATACCTACTGTAGCTATTCATAATAGACAATAGACAAAATAATATATTACAATAAATAATCGCAAAGAAAATGTCGGTGTAGTAATGACGTTTACGCGTCCATAAAGTGAAACCAAAATATTTACTATAAATCTTTTAAAGGTGTAATTTTACCGATTTTCCAGCGCAGTATTATTATTTCTTATCGTTTTATAATGCGAATCAATAATATTGGGTAACCCATGGCAATACGGTTAGAAATTCACCAGAATGTATTATATATAGGTATAGGTATAGTGAGTATACAAACTCTTTAACATGCCGGCTGTTCTTTGGCCATGCATCATAATATTACACACATTCCCTTACATAATGTATAACAAAAACGTACGAAAAACCTGTACAAAGGGTTACTTACACTTGACGAGCTAAGAGATATGTAGTTTGGGAAGAAAAAGGATGAATTATTTAACCAACGTGATCTTCCTACTGAAAACGACGTGTATTTTTTCATATGTATATAATATATATATAGTTTATTATTTATATTTTCCTATTTGTCGTCTTTTCGTAGACAAGAAAAACGCAGTGTACATTTTCTAGTTATAAAGGTAGGTACCTCGTTCAATTCCAGTGCGTTATTAAGCATCTAAAATCTACATATTATAGAAAATGTATGTGTGACACAATATGCTGGTTTTCTTATCCAAATTATGTCTGCAGTTGAACTATAATCATTTCCAAGACCTCATTTTTTTCAAATGATTTTAAAATAATTCTGATTCATAATTAATAGATACATAACACACGTTACATATACTATAACTTATTTTGACATGTAAAAATAAATAACATCAATATGTATGCCACTTTGACTGTTTACAAAAACAAAGTAAAAACATACGAGTTGGATCATGTTCTTTTGTACTTTTCTGTACTTTTATACGATGATCCATTTTCTTCCTTTCTTGCCAACACAAAAATGAATAGTTAAAAAAATTACTAATGTCCCTACAATATATGTTCAATGTCGATAGTGCAAATATTGTGCATTATATAACATATTATACATTTGACAGGTACATCGGTGTGGTTGGAAAATAATACTATAATGCTTGTCGTGTTTTAAAACTTCAATACGTTAGTATCTATTTCTACTTACGTAAAAAATCAAATTACTGCGGCTAGTGTAATGCGTATCGTGTAGCGAATGATATTAAAATAAAATGAGTTGTCCGTGTCAAGTCCTAATGAATTGCTTATTTTGCTAGAGTATAGTATATCCACGTGGCACGTACCAATATAATTTTAATGGTCTTACATTTCTCCATAAGCTAACACAAATGCAGTTATTGTTTTATGACAAAGTGTGGCGGTGTATTCAAAAACAATGACATTCGTAATGTAGACAAAAATAAAGAAAAAAGACCTTAAATAAATATATGAATAATTTTTTTTTACTCTTTACAAAGACAATGGAATGGGATTCAAATGCCGTACGTATGCATTTTGCAAAAGGGGTTTCTGCTCAGGGGAGCAAGCAGACACTCCGGTTCGTCCTGCACATATTGCCAATATTCCGAAATGCTGCCGGGCGTACATACATAATATTGTAGGTGGATTTCTTGGATACCTCGTTTTTATTGAAAAGTTCAAAAGCCGGATGACTTGTTGTGTTCTCGTTTAATAGAAATAATAAAAAAAAAAACCAGAAATTTCTTACACATAAAATGTGTGTGTGTGTGTGCACATCCAACCTACACAACGATACAAAAGAAAAAGAAAACGCCAACGGTTTTCCATTTGTATACGTTCTAAATGTAATTTATCCTCAATTTCACGCAAGAGGTTATTCAAATATGGTATTTTTTTTTACGTCTAATATCGGATGTTTTATTCACAATGACCATATTGCTGGGAATTTTTATCGTCGACGTAGCCTGCGCCTTCATCCAGCACCTCCGTTTAGTGGTTTTTATCATATATAGAGTATATACCTATAGATAGGTACGTATAGGTGTGTGTACAACACTGTATACATATTATATGTATATATATGTATGTATATATATTATATATATTGTTCTAGTCTGCCGTCTTTCAATTTATTTCCACAGCACAGCAACGAAAGTGGAAATTGCTTGTTAATAAATTAAACCCTTAGTAATTCTTTTTTTGAGCACGCCGCCGCGCCTTGCAGTTCGAATTTCGCTTCTTTTCTTTTATTTATTTATTTATTTTTATTTTTATTTTTTTTTTTTTGGCGGGCCAAGACACGAAAACGGAAATTATTACCGAGCAATATAAATTCCATCGGAACATTACACGACCGTCGCTGATAATAAATCACCGGTTGTTGTCAAGACGAGATACAATTAATATGATATTTTTTCCTCTCCGTTGCCGTCGTCTTCTTCTAAAATTAATACTGGCGAATAATGTTATGACGGGGAAACGAACGAAAATAATCCGACTGCGACACTACCTCATGGGCGCCGCCGCCGTCACCGCCAACTCGTTTCCAACACAACTCTGGTTCGAGTGAATCATTGTTCAGCCAGGCACTATATACACTGTTTAATTTAATGGGACATTGGAGTTTTGAACTTTAGCCCAATATGACAGCTATTAAGTTTTGTTTTATTGACCTTTGCAAAACCATCCTATAACCTTTATATTGGGGCCAGTCTCGCATTTTGTCTGTATCTCGTATTTAAACTGCCAGTACACGTTATATACCTACATTATATATACGCTTCACATGATAGGTACTTCAATAAAACACAGAATGCATATAATTTAATGTAACAAACATATTGTATTGTAATCAATAACCGTCCAAAATAAATTTATCATACAATTTAGTTTAGTTTTCCTCGTCTATTTATATAATTATATAATAATATGGGAATATAGAAAATTTCCTGTTTGTGAGAATTGCCGTTAGTTAGTAAGATAGACGATTATTATGGTTCGAATCTGCCAGTTGTAAATTATTTGTTTATTTTAATAATTAGAATTACATGCTATAGTATTAAAGTATTTTTTTTTTAAATATAATAAAAACAGTGTACCTCCTATGTACCTTCTGATGTTAGATGAATTGTCACGAATTTGTAACCCACAGTCCAATCTGGTGCGGTGATTTGCGTTTGCAGGATATCAATCAGTTAATATACGCTTCTCTCGGCTCTCAGTCTAAAATATCAACAATTATTTTACAGGTTGTGGAAGAAAACACGTACCTTTCATTAATAATATTACGATTTATAGTCAATTTCCTGTGTCTTGCTGAAAATAAACGCATTGTATCATAACAGTTATGCATTTATGAAAATTTATATATTTTTTTTAAATTTTGCATTGGTGTGCTTGTTAGTAATTTTATTATTTCTACAACCTTTTTCCATTAGCCGATTAATAGTTAAATTTATAAAAATATAAACTTACCTGCAATAGTTCTCTGCTGGGGCTTCGTTCCTATGTAATATAACACTTCCTGTACAGCCGACAAGCCTGCAACCCTATATAGTGTTTGGAATGTCTGATAGGATTTAAATTTATGATGTAACCTAACCATAATAATTTTAGTTATCACATCACAAGTATTTCAACATATTATTATACCTATGTCATTCCACATAATTTAAAAAAGTAGTTCTGTTTCATGCATTTTTTATCATTTTTAAGCATTTTTATTTGTATGATATTATTTTGGTGGTATAAAACAAACTATTTTATTTTAGTGAAATATGTTCTGAAATAAACTAAGAATTTATTTTTAAAATAGAAGAATACAATTTTCAGTATAAATATTTAAATTATTCAACGAATATAATTCGAAAATGTCATACAATTTTTTAATTAAATTTTAATCTTTTATAATATAAACAAGATGTTTTGAAAAATCTTTTTGATGTTATTTGAAGTTTTATCATTGGTAAACGACCATTGCTTTGAAATTACACTCTGTGTCTATTTTGTCGATCTTTGAGTACTAAATCCTTTTCATGTTAGTCTAATTGGAACCATTGAAGCGTGTCGAGAAAAATACTTACAGTGTATTAAGATGGCCAACCTGAATGAAGGTTGTTTTCATTTTAATTAATGTACAAAGTCTTTTCACATTGGCCACATTTTAAAAGAAGAAATTTTATTTAAAATACATTTAAAAA